AGAGAGAGAGAGAGAGAGAGAAAGAGAATAAAAGAAAGACTTAGCTCAGGCTTCTGTAACAAAATACCTTAAACTGAGCAGCTTAAACATTTTTTTCTCACCATTTTGGAAATTTAAAATGCAAGATCAAGGTGTCAGGTGGGTAAGGGTCTTGGTGAGAGCCCTCTTCCTTTTACAGATTGTTGTCTTCTTGCTATGTTTTCATATAGTGGAAAACTCTCTGTCCTCTTCTTATAAGGGCACTAATCCTATTCATGAGGGCTCCACCTTCCTGACCTCATCACTTCTCAAAGACTTCACCTCCTAATTCAGTCACAATGGAATTAAGGACTCAACATTTTGGAGAGACATACGCCATTCAGTCCACAATGGAAAGCTATCCAGTGAAGTACACGAGACTCTGCTTTCTATTTTTCTCTACTCCAATCTCTGTGACCTAACACTATAGCTATTACCTTTGTGATAGCCACTAATGCCATTTTTATCTGCTGAATAGCAAAGGCAATTGCAATCATGACAAAATAAATGTTTAATTTTGAACAGTTTGCCTCTTCACCTTCTTTTTTTCCAAAATATTTGATCCTAATCATTTATTTTTTAGCATTTGTATGATACTTAATAACAACAAATTACAAATTCTTGTTGAACCTTGACATTAAATGAAAATCTTTCTCTCAGTATAAATTTAGTGGAGTTGCAAATGAACATAGGAGTCAAGGCATAGTAAATGAACATTCCTGTTTGTGAATTCTTTTGTTCAAAACAGAATTATCATTGGCTTTTTCAGTTCCCATAGCCTGCAGAGATAATCCTAAAGCATAAAAATTCTGGAGCAGTTCATGCCTTTAAAATGGCAACAAAGCCAAAATTGATTAGTTTTTGTCAAACCAAAAAAGAAAAAAAAAGGAAGGGTTTTCATCACAAGCTCTTTTCCTAATGATAGCCCACTTTTTCATTTTCCAAAGCCTGCCTGTGAACTGTTAATGACCGAATAATCTGTGGACATATTCCTGTGACTTCAGCTGTTATAAAATGCAATTTGACATTGAAAAGAAATGTAAGTATTACTCCCAAGAATGTTTGCTTTCTGTTTTATAAAAATACCATCTTTCTTTGTGAAACACAGTTGTTACTATGTATACAGAGCATATAAACAAGGGAAGACATTAAAAACACAGAAACAAAGCATCAATATTTTATAAATGGCTTGCTGATATAATCAACGTTCCATCACACTAGCTGCACTAATCTAAGTATTTTTTCTTAATGAGCATTTTATTCATATCTGCAAAAGGCTAGCAGTAACATGGCACCTACTCTATAACTCTGAGTACAGTAAGGAAAGTAGAAACCACAGGAGGCATTTCAAGCCGAGGGAACTATTTACAAAAGTGTTTAGAAGGCTGAAAGAGCAAACAGCAGAATGTGAAATAACCCAGCTATTAACACCTGCAGGAAGCAGTTACTATCCCCAGGGCCAGACATACAAAAGGGAAGAGGAGGTTGTAGAACTCATGAGCCCACTTGCACTTCTGAGGTGTCTCGGGAGATCCTGAAAACACAAGGGAGGGGACACATATGTTTAGTTTGAGGAGCACGGATGGGTTCCAGGAAATAGGTGCTTAGACAGCTGGGATGAAGTGTGGTTTGCAGCAGTCTGGAAATGCAACTGGGCCCTATGTAGCTGGTGTTGGAACTGATGAGGAGGTGCTGCTCTGTAGGAGTTGGTGCTATCAATTGGTCTCTGTTTACAGATGCTGGTATAGCCAAACGGAGTGCCACGGGGCAGGGGCTGGAACCAGGGAAGGGTTGAACTATGGGCACTGAAAATGCCGGAGGATGCAGGCATCCATAGCTTCATGTTGTTGCGGAAGAAGGCCCAGAAGCTGGAAAACAGAAGTGAGTCATGCTTTCTCTCTTCAGACTTCATTTTTTAAGTCCCTTTCCAGGACCTCTCATTGGCAAGATCTAACTAAAATACTGCTGGCAATAACAACTTGGAAAGGTAATCTGTAAGGTACATACATCAACATTTCATAGATTTATGCAAGTTACAAGATAATATCTTTTCTTATTTCCATGAAGCCACGCTCATGCTCTACTTAAATCTTTATTATTCTTTCAAATTTCAATATGGGATGTTATTGAGCAGATAATTTATATAAGAAGTAAACAATTAGGGAAAATATATCACACTGTGGTTAATGATAGCCTTTAATTCTTTGCTTTTCTCACTGAAATTGCCCTTGAATCTAGACCAGCAGCCATAGTGATTTGCTTAACTAGTAAGATATAGGAAAGCCAACGTTCACAGATTTCAAAATCTAGAACAACCGCCCTGAGATCGCCATGCTGGAGAGAACACATACAGGAGCTCTGCGTGTCAATACCAGCTAAGCCAGGACTTCTAGTCATCCACTCTCAAGTGCCGGACATGAATGGGTAGTCATCTTGAACCTTCAACCACTCCATCTGCAGGCTAACAATTACAGTTTATATTACACCAAGTAGAATAATCACGCGGACAATCCCTAACTAGATCTCTCAGCCACCAAACTGTGAAATATATAAAACCATTGTTTTGAGATACTAAGTTTTGGAGTAGTTTGCTATGTAGCAATAGATGAAACATGGCCTTTTTAACAATCAAAGAAATGTACACTAAAGCAAATTATTCATGTTAAATGTAACCAGATTAAGCTGTTCTACATTTGCTGAACATAATTAAATCAGAGAACACAATACTCATGAAGCTTCGGGGGTGAAGTGCTCACCCCATACTGATGAAATTGAAAAGTACTACAGGACTTGAGGGAATCTCTTTGACAATGTTAATCTGACAGAAGCTGAGCTTATGGCTCCTCAGTGTGATGAGTCCCTTCAAGGTAGAAAGTTCCCTAGCAATTTATGTTTATAATTTCATATAATTTTTCTTAAGAAGCCTCTGCCCCCAAGTGATATAAACATTAGACCCCACAAAATAGAATTGGTCCCCAGACGGTATACGTTAATATCATAAAACTCTTCTGGCACTTCTTAGTCATTAGTATTTTCTCCAAGAAAATAAGAGGAAGGGGGAGAGCTATGTTTATAAAACTCTTTATCAGAGCATCACAGATAATAGAAAAATAAACTGAAAATCACCTAAATGTTCTGTAATGGATAAAAAATTAAATTATAAGCTATCAACTCAGAGCATGATGTCATCTTTTTAAAAAAGTGGTTACAAAGTTTCTAACAACTTGAGAGCTTGTTTATAATATGACTAACTGTAAAAGCTAACCTTGAAAGTTTATATAAACTTTGATTACAAGTATAAAAATGTATACATTACAGATAAAACTTGGAAGGAAATTTGAAGAAGTGAAAACAATTATGTTGAGGTGACGGTCATGAGATACAACTTTGCTCTTTGTTTTTGTTTTTCAATTCTTATTTCTCATCTAAGTTGCATCCCATTATAGACAATGGTAAGTGATGCAAGCTCTTTCAGAAATCAGCTTCTACAGTTTCATAAGAGATACCCTGTCAAAGCTGTAGCTAAACTAAGGGAATGACTGCAAAGCCCAAAGCTCAGGAAGGAAGGCCTGGTTGTGGAGGGCCACTTCTCACTTTGAAAAATGTGGAAAAATAAACATCTCATTAGGAAGGTAAATTCAGACCCTTGGGGAAGTTTGGCATCTTTCTATTCCTTTTTTTTTTTTTTTTTTTTTTTTTTTTTCTGATCACTTGAATGGCAAAGTAAAACCTTCAGGAGCCAGAAAGCAAACCGCTGACAGCACTGTTCTCCCACCCTCAGATCTGCCATCTTTAGGACTACACACACACACACACACACACACACACAAACACACACACACACACACCCCTTCAAGAAGACATGTTTAAAGGAAACATTTGCTATTTTAATGATTTTTTGAATGTGCTAGAAATGTAGAACAGAAACAGCAACATCTGGAATCTACGTCAGGTTTGTGGCCAGCGGCTCTCTGACCTGCGGTGATGCCTCACTTGCTGGGAGCCTCCACGTCTCTATCTGTGCCATGAGGGGTTTTCACCATGGAACTACCAACATCCTGTCTTGTCACCATTGTCTGACTCAGTTATCAAATACGATGGAGTCCATTTGAAAAGCGGAGAATTTGGGTAAGCCACATTGCTCTCAGTGGTTTCTGCCTTTTTTTAATATCCTAATTTCAGATTATAGAAACTTAGATAGTAAAATTTTAAGCGATACAAAGAAAATAATTAAAAGGAAAGCCAGGTTCTGACACAGACATCAGTGATGTCAGAAGGCAGACAGCCCACCTTGTCTTTTCCACTCCAAACATAGAAAACACAACCACGAAGGAGTGCTCCCTCTGATGTGTTTGTTCTTCCTAGATTTCGTTAGAAAGGAACACACAGGGCCGGGCGCGGTGGCTCACGCCTGTAATCCCAGCACTTTGGGAGGCCGAGGTGGGTGGATCACGAGGTCAAGAGATCGAGACCATCCTGGTCAACGTGGTGAAACCCCATCTCTACTAAAATTACAAAAATTAGCTGGGCATGGTGGCGTGTGCCTGTAATCCCAGCTACTCAGGAGGCTGAGGCAGGAGAATTGCCTGAACCCAGGAGGCGGAGGTTGCTGTGAGCCGAGATCGCGCCATTGCACTCCAGCCTGGGTAACAAGAGCGAGACTCCGTCTCAAAAAAAAAAAAAAAAAAAAAAAAGAAAGGAACACACAGGCCGGGCGCGGAGGGGCACGCCTGTAATCCCATCACTTTAGGAGGCCAAGGCAGGCGGATCACAGGGTCAGGAGATGAAGACCATCCTGGCTAACATGGTGAAACTCCGTCTCTACTAAAAATACAAAATATTACCTGGGCATGGTGGCGCACGCCTGTAGTCCCAGCTACTCAGGAGGCTGAGGCAGGAGAATAGCTTGAACCCAGAAGGAGCTGCCGTGAGCCGAGATGGCGCCACTGCACTCCAACCTGGTGATAGAGCGAGACTCCACCTCAAAAAAGCAAAAAAAAAAAAAAAAGAAAAGAAAGGAAACACACGAAGAGACATTTAACCTGCCCCCGTGGTAGATGTGTGAAGAGCCTCACTTTAGGAGGCTTGACTCCTTTCACGGTACCCGTAAAAGCTCACACCTGACTCACTCAGGAGCTGGCTCAACCTCAACCTCTTGGCCCATCCATCCAAGATCCAGTGAAAAGCTGTTAAGCAAATCCATCTCAGGAACTTTACATTCATGCAAAACATCATTTTGCTGCCTTCCTGCAACAATAAGGAAAGGCTGTCTTTCAACTATGTCTTGGTAATGAGAATTTAAAATTGCCTACTATGTAGTTTCCATTAAAAGACATCTCAACACCAAAAGAGGATATGATAGCCATTCACAACTCACAATTCTCCTAGTTTTATGCCTAAATCAATTGCAGTGAAAAGGCAGTTTTAAAAATAGAGCATGTTACTTCAGCTTCCTAACAAAATTGGCTTTACAGAGTGATGGCTTAACACTGCTTCCTCAGTTTTTCACTTGTCATAAAGATGAGATGTGGAATTCACCTATATTTTTAGTAAACATCTAATCATATAAAGCTATGCATAAGAAATTATTCTCAAAGTTTGGGGATAGGAAAAATGTTTTCCTCCTAATCTTAATGTTTTCTCTTATTTAAAAAAAAAAAATCCAACAACAGTATCCCCTTAGGCTTTTAAGTTTTACCTTGACTATCAAAGGAAACTTAGTTTGGGTTTTGTGTGCAATAACTTCTCACATCTCTGATTTTCTTGTTTGTTTGTTTAATATAGTTATGCACCTCTTCCAATGCACCATACATGGCTATTATTACATGAGGTTAACTTTAGAAACTACAGGTTTTATGAGTTTAGAAAGGAGACTTTATTTCTCATAAAAGGTTATAGCCTTCACGGTGGCCATTCCACAGGCTGAAAAGCACAGCATCCGACAACGACCAGAGACAAGCAGGGTTTAGACAGGAATTTAAGTTGAACAAATTAAAGTAACGTATGTATTCAACAGGCTAGAGGAGGAGTTGTGAATATTCATGAAGGGGGTCCTGACACAAGCATATTAAGCAAATTGCATATATATGACCCATGTTTACCTTGGGGTAAAGATAACATTGAAATGTACTACAATTAGGCCCTATACATCAAAAGGTCTTTTTAGGACACAAGGGCACACAAGTGTGCAATCTGTGGTTGGTGGTTTCATCAGAAGAATGTTATTGAAATCAGTCTCTTGTCCAATCAAAGCTGTAGTTATGGCTTGTGGACAGGAGATCCGTTAGCTTCTGTGAGCTGGATGAGCTGTCATTATTTTAACACTGCTTATCTTGAGGCCACTGCTTGTTTAGCTGCTAGAAAGAAAGAAAGAAAGAAAGAAAGAAAGAAAGAAAAACCTGTTGCCGCTAGAAGGTAGTTTATTCCCTAAGTGTAGGGGTGTGTGACTTCACCTTGCCTGGCACAGCCTTAGGTGCTGTTTATAATTTGGTATCTTATTGCCATGAAGAGTCCATTCTGTTAGTCTTGTAATATCTATTTTAACATTAATGCTGGTCATTTGTTGTGTCTAAACTGCAAAGGGATGGGGTGTAACAAAGCGTGTCTGACCTCCCGTTTCGTCATGGCTGGGAACTCAGTTTTCAAGATTTCTCTGGGGTTCCTTTGGCCAAATGAGTGTGTGTTCAATCTGTGGGAGGTTCAGAATTTTCTCCTTAGTTTCTAGGGCTTAGCTTTTATTGATGATCATTTTCAGCTTTATTGAATACGTACTTTTGTAATTAGCTACATCAAGTCACATTGGGGAAAGATAGTGTATAAATATATAACCATGTATATATGTGTATGCATGCATGTGTGTATGTGCTCTATATAATATGTATTATCATTAATTATCATAGAAAAAATCTTTAGAATTAAAAAGAGCTTAGCAATCATTTAATTAAGTGGTTCCAAACATATATCTATCATGCATGGAGAACCATTTTTTTCAAATGAAATATTACCTAAAACTTAAACAAATATGGTTGAAAAATAAAAGCAAAGTTCCTTTGGCCGAAAGGTAGGAGTATAAAAACCCACAAACTTCAGCTTGTAGCCACTCACTTTCACTGCAACAGAGAATTCTGGAATCACCTACAGAACTAGTAATTTTCTTTTATATATATATATTTTTTTTTTAATTGCACTTTAGGTTTTGGGGTACATGTGAAGAACATGTGAGATTGTTGCATAGGTACCTACATGGAAGTGTGGTTTGCTGCCTTCCTCTCCATCACCTATATCTGGCATTTCTCCCCATGTTATCCCTCTCCAACTCCCCACCCCCCGCTGTCCCTCCTCTAGTTTCTTCCTACAGACCCCAGTGTAGAACTAATAATTTTCTATGGTACACATTTGACTATTACCAGTCCATTTTAGTCATTGTCTTTTGTAAGTATGAAAAATGACATACAATGAAGTGAATTATCTATAAACATGTACTTAGTAAGTGATCAGGTCACCACCAGATCTCAGATTCCCTGATTTCCAGAAGTTTATTTTTGTCAAAATAGAAAGGTCTGTCCCAATATTGGCTGAAAATTAAAATTGTGGTCTTTGAAAAGAGTTGGGCTGTTTGGAATTTCTGACAAAAACTAAACAGAGCCTAAGATTTTCCTAAACTCAACAAGCAGTTAATATTTCCTCACAGGCCCAGCACTGCTATTTTCCCTCCTCCCAGGCCTATGTGCAGAAAGGGCCCGCCCTCCCTGCTTTTCAGACTTACTTTCAACTGCTGTTGCATTTGCCTATTCCCTTGGAGTCCCTATTGGATCTCAATTTCTTGACCCCTCCTGTGTAAGGAATCACATGGCCTTGCATTGTTTGTATGTCAAATAAACTTAGCCAAGATAACAATTTTGTGAAATCTTAGGGAATACTTGTTTTTCTTTCTTGAGCATTTTTACATTTTAGCCTGACTTTAGTTTTTAACGTTATGGATATCAAGATCTCTTGTCCATTTAATAAAGCCTGAACATGTTCTTGTATGCCTACTCTCAATAAACTTGGACTGAATTAACCTGCGTATATGACTTATTTTGCCAACACCTCCAGACAAAAACTAAGTAAAATGTACTTGCACGATGACTAAAGATTTCAGACAAACTTTGGATAGATCGTGGAAATTTTAAGAAGCCACATTTGAGCTCCAAATTTCAAAGTCATGATTTATAAACTCAGTTTCAGGTGAAACAGAAAAGTTTCAATCACATTTTTATTATAACTTACTGTCATGGCTTTTAGGAGAAATGTTTCCAAATCTACCATTTATTGTTTGCTTTCTTTTTGTTTTTTATATTATATAGGCTTATTTTGCCCACTAAAAATAGGCTATTTCATTTATAGAAGTATCTTATGTAATAAAAACCATTTCAACAGAAACAATTTCAACAATCCTAAGAGGAAAATACCACCCTCTAGTGGCGAAACCCTTAAACAGCAAAGGCCTGGGGGCAGAATGTCTCCAGTTAACCAGTGACTAACCTAGGTGTAAAACAGGAGGGTCTGATACTATTAACAGGAAACCTCAAGAAGACCGTAGCATCTGGAGATCCCTGAGGGCATGTGATATGTGGGTATGGAGGAGAGTAGTGGAAAGAGAAGCAAACCACTGCCAAAGAGATATTGATCAAAGCAATGCCTTATCCCTTTTCATGGAACTGGGAAAACCAGGCACTAATTAAACTAGTCCCTAAGTAAAGTCCCAGGGACTTTTCTGAACCAGAATTAGGCATCAGGTACAAAGACAACAGGGGAGATCATAGAGGGATAAAGAGCCAAGCATATCATGCTAGTTTAGGGTGTAAACAATAAACAGAACAGGTCTGCCAAAAACTAGAGTTTAATGGATATTGGTTTCCTAGTAGGCAAGAAAGGATGAAAGGAGATCAACTGGCCAACGTAAACATTTAAGGCTTATCCAGACAAGTAAACATTTTGTCCAGGCTCCACCCTTTGACTATTCAATTGGGTCTTGATAAGCTCCTGAAGTTGGCCCCTGGTCTAAGCCTCCATTCTGGAACTCTCCTTTTAGATCTCAGCCTTGCCTATTATCTCTTCTGTTGCTTTTTAACAACGCAAGATTTTTACAGGGTTATCAATTTCTAAGCCAAAATTACTTGTATATTATCTACTTAATTCATTCTAAAGAATAAATCCCATACACCTCAAGGAGACTTGATGTACAACAATTCCTTCAAATCAGAGACAGAATACAACGAAAAATAATAATAGTAACTTGAATTGCCAAAACAATGAAGACTCAGTGCAAAAGAGAGATCCACCGAAGATGCCTAACAAATCTTTTAGACATAGAAGAGAGGTGCTGAGACTGTGCAGAGAGAAAGGCTTGTCTAAATTAATGTTATATTCCTCAAAATGTAAACGTCTATATAAATACAATATTTTATGTGAGGGTATTATTCAGCTGCCAGAGTGTAGGGAGAATGGCGATAACGGTAATTTGAATTTCTGGAGGCCTATCGTCTTAGACACTTATGCTTTCGAGAGCCAGCTTATTAGTCCTCAGGACTATCTCAGGAGAAAAGTAGCCAATGTTACTAGCTCCATTTTCAGATAAGAAATTGAGACAGACGCAGATTACGTGGTTCATACAAGGCTTACACAAGAAATCTGTGAGGAGAAGGAAAAATTATTAGCTACTAAGGTAGGAATGTGGTTCACAGATAAACAGCTGACAAGATTTGATCTTCTCCTATTCATACTCATAGAAAAGTAAGCACTGTCCCAGTCAAAGCTAACTAAAACAAATATATATAGATTTATATACATCTATATGTAATATTTATTAACATATATAAAACAATACATATATTTATTATTAACATATGTAATATATAGCATTAACTTTATTAACATGTTATATATATTTATATATATATTGTTATATATATTTATATATAACATGTTAATTTATAATTTTTAAAATTATAAATTTTAAAATAAATTTATAATTATAAAATATAAATTAATTCACATATTTTAAAATTATATACTATATATTTATAAATTCATGATTATAAATATATAATAAATATCATAAATTATATTTACCAAATTTATATTTACAAATTTATATATTATAAATGTACATATATATATAAGCAAATATATATATATATATATATATATATATATATATACACACACATATATATATTACACAGAGAAGGGACGAGTTAGTATTGGAGGCTGCAGTTCAACCCAGAAGACAGCAGTGAAGTGCTGAGCTTTCTTTGATTGGCAGCGTGGATGCCTTGACAACCTCTTGGCCTGAAGCCAACCTGCCCTCTCTAACACCACTCTCCTCCACCCACACCGTTGTCACATAATCATCAGGAAGCCATGCCCTGAAATAAGGGTGAAACGACAGAATAAGTAAGTCTTCAAATGAAACAGGAAGCACTCAGAGAGAGCAGAGCACTTATCAACATGAAATTAAAAACCAAAGTGAATGAAGAGGAACTCACAGAGGTGAGTTAAAGAGTACAGAGTCGTTCACAAATGTTGCTGAAGAATTCACTTTGAATCCTTACCATTTTCTTGTTTTTAAAGTAAAAAAAAAAAAAAAACTGGGCCGGGCGCAGTGGCTCAAGCCTGTAATCCCAGCACTTTGGGAGGCCGAGGCGGGTGAATCACGAGGTCAAGAGATCGAGACCATCCTGGTCAACATGGTGAAACCCCGTCTCTACTAAAAATACAAAACATTAGCTGGGCATGGTGGCACGTGCCTGTAATCCCAGCTACTCGGGAGGCTGAGGCAGGAGAATTGCCTGAACCCAGGAAATGGAGGTTGCGGTGAGCCAAGACTGCGCCATTGCACTCCAGCCTGGATAACAAGAGCGAGACTCCATCCCAAAAAAAAAAAAAAAACAAAAAACTGTTTTTACTTGATAGATACTTTAAAAATAAATTTAAACAACAAAATTGTGTTCTATAAAATGAATCAGTCAGAAAGTAGTGAGTTATGCATGCTTCCAAGAGGCAAAATACCTTGCAAACCAAGTTTTAAAGCTCAGATGAATTAGCCAAATCCTATACAATTATTAACAAGATAGAGAATAAAGAAAAACAAGTGTTTATTTATATTTAAATATATACACTCATATACTCATTTAAAAGACTACTAGAAATGGACAGCTATAGATAAAGAGAGAAAAATTATATCCCTCATTAACGAAAACTATTAAGTTATATTTTAAAATAATGAAAAAAAACCAAAAAAAAAAAAAAAAAAAAAAAAAAACCACAAGATGACTTCCAAGGAAAAAAGAGATTACTGAGAGACCTTTAGTATCAGTATTTCCAACCAACTTGCTAGTCATAATGACAAATCCTGGAAGAGAAAGTAAATTGTTGTCAAAATTTAACAGGCAAGAGTACATAGGTTAATCACAGGAAATTTTTAGTTTGGGAAACTGCCAAACCCATCGGAAGATATGAGAGACGGAGTGATGTAATTACCTAAGAAGAGGGATGAAGCAATGCACTCAACCATCCGCACCTGATTTCTTTTTGCTTGAGCCAGAAGAAATCTTTCCACTGATGGACAGTCAAGTACCTGAGATATCCTCGACAACCCAGCTAGAAATGTGAGTGTTATCCAATCCTGGAAGTTTCTAAGAGCCATTCAATATTTTCACGCCTATTCTCTGCTTCCAGGCAGGGTGGATATTCAGTAAGAACACCTGAGTATCATATACAGGCCAGTATCCATTCTGACAGGTTGAGTGTCCATGCCATACTCATTGCTGAATGTTTTTAATAACATCCTGCATTCAGGAAAGTATCAACCTAAGCTTACCAAGGAAGTGTTCATCTCCCTATTAAAAAATTCCAAGATGACTAGGTGTTATTTGGTGGAATGTATTTCTTTTTTTTTTTTTTTTAATTTAAAAAAGTATTCTAAAGTGAGCAAAGTGGTGCTATGCCATCTGAATTGGTGAATTGAATATAAGAAGGACCTTGATGAGAGCTGGTCACACCCAAAAGAAGGATGTGACACAGTCTGAAGTTTTTACTAAAGAGAGAGAAGAAAGAAGCAGCAGGATCATGCAATGTAAGAGACCAAGAGAGGCTCTCAGGCTGTCTTTCCATGGACTAATTATGCAGAATTTACGAAATGGGTTCTGGAGGTTGAGCTATCTGGGTTCAAATGCCAGCTCCACAATGACATTTGCAGGGAGAAGCAGGACAAAGTGCTTCAGGTGAACGGAGAATGATCCACAATGGTGTAAAAACAAGAGTGAGCAGAACTCCTTCAGGAAGCAGCAAGCAGTTCAGGAAGGCTGAGGCATAGCAGCCGGGTAGGAGCAGAGGCAAGCACAGGGGAGGGGCAAGAGGGAAGGATGCCGAGAAAGGCGGAGGCTGGTCATGACATACTTATAAGACCGACTGAGGAATTTAAACTGTAGCCTAAAGGAAGACACAGAGGGGTTTAAATTCAGTTAATGACATGATCTTATTTGTGATTTACATTTTAGGAAGGTGGAAAGCAAAAGTTGTGAGGGCAGTGGCCAGAACAAGGAAAGTGATTGTAAGAATGGAGAGAAGTAGATAGAGCCCACCTTGTCCCTTGTTTTCCACTCCAAGGACTATAAATTACCTGCTTGAGGTTTTGCACTTAAGACCACCTTAGATTCCATTTTTGAGCTTCTGTCTCTAAGGATGCAAAACGTGAAGCTAAACTCCTTAACCTCTGTACCAACTAGACCATGTCTTCCTGTAGAGGAAATGAGTTTCAAACCTCACTTACTGGTAATTATTCTTCGTGTTTTTTTCATTTGACCCCTGTATTTCCTTTCCGCAATAAACCTGTTATCCCCACACATCCCTAGATGTTTCGGGTGAATAAATATGTTATTATGAATTTCATTTATCTTCATTTGTAAAAGACAGCAGAAAACGAGTCTGGTCTCAAAACCATCTCTGCACATCCAAGTCAGTGAGTAGTTTCTTCAACAATCACACAAAAGTGAAAGGATAATGTAGACAAGTATAGTTATTTAGTAATTCACTAATGCTATCTAAAACTTCTTCCATTAGTTCATAGTCTTTCGGTTAAATCAAAATCTGTAAGTAAATTTTATGGATTGTAAGATGGGAAGTATTAGAAACAGATACAAGGTTGTGTTTCCCATAAATAGCTATGGCATAGAGACAGGCTTAGGTTCCTTCTTTTAGAAATTTCTAGATTTCAGAATATGCCTCTTTATATTTTGAACATAAAGTGGTTTTTACATTTCATCCTTGCCTTGATAGTCAATTCAGTGTGTTTTAGAGGAAAGAAAATGGGACCCAGAACCAAAGAACCTGATCAAGCTTCTAAAACTCTCCAATATTCAATTTTACATCTGTTAAGTAGTAACAATAATTATAATAATTACTCTCTTTCCATTGTGTTTTATGAGAATTAAAAGATTTACTGTCTATCATGAGGACCAAAAACTTTTTGATTTTGGAAATGTTCTATATCTGTCCTGTCCAATCAGCTAGACAATAGCTACATTCATATAGCTGTTGAACACAATGTGTCTGTTGAACACTGATAAATTGTATTGTTAATTTTCATCAATTTAAAATTTAAAAGACACATGTGACTAACGCTTACCTTATAGAAAAGTGCAGCTCTAGAGTACTGTTTCAGTTTCAGTTATTCCTACTCTAAATTCCTTGACTCTAACTTTGCTCTGGAAATCCATAGATAGTATGTTGTCTTTGTTTAAGAATGGATGTTCTCTTTATATGTGAGCAAAGATAAGTATGTAACCTTCTTAAAAACAATTGGCAAGATGAAACAAAGTACAACTGTATTTTTGTCCACCACTGTCCTTTTAAAAATTTTATTCATTGGGGGAAATTTTTTCTAATACCACTAATGAAATTTCCCTAGTTGGTCCCATATATCTTCTGATCACTTTTAGGTTTTTTTAAAAAAAAGTCCTGGGTTATTTTAAGTTTCGAAATGCAGTATTATTTGTAAATTTTCATCAGCACACCAATCTCCCAGGGCAAGACTGATCCTCCCCTCCCCACACCATATGGCTCTACAGCCTTTGGGGAAGGGGGGTACAAGTGCGTTACGCGTCTTTTTCTACCTCACCTCTTCAATCACCCAACTAACTACCTAGCTGCTGCTACTGATGGCTCTGAAGTTGGAAGCTTTGACCCTCCTTTTGAGAACCAGAAAATATTTATTGCTGCTGATGATGATGGTGTGGGTGTGCATGCCTGCACTTTGGAAGATCCGGAGAGGCTTTCAATTGCTATACCTATGATGTGAATGATGCAACCAATTTATAAGTGAGTTAAAGCCTCCCTGAGTTCTGGTTTCCAGGCAGGGAAACACCAAGCTTTCCTGGAAAGTGCAATGCGGTGAAACAATAGCATCCCTCATCTCCTCACCTACCCCTCTGGATTAGGATAGCCCTCTAAAAATCATTCTCACAAAATCCTCTCAGTGTTCATTCCCCCTTTATTTTTTGTTGCAACTTGGAAGTCAGAAAGGAGCTCAGGATTTGTGAAAATATTGCCAATTGGATTTTTGCCAGGTACCTCTTTCTGGTATCTGCAATCAATTGTCTTGGAATCTTAGCTAATTTTTTTCCATTTAAAAACCTGTTTCTATGCAAAAATGGTCATTGTGGATCTGTCAATAATAGCTAATGGCTGGAAAATTACATAATCATAGTGGAAAGAGTGGTACCTTCATAAGCAATATGGGCTCATCACTAAAATATATTAAGTAAAAAAAAGGAAGCCAGACATGTTTCTATTTGAATTTTAAAATAAGAGATATAGGTATGTACATACTTTTGTATTATGTGGATTTTTAATTATACAGAAGAATTCCTTTAAGTTTTTCCTTATTATCTTCTGAAATATTACATTTGGATACATATTGAAGCCTGAATTTATTGCTCAACTGTTTAAACTGTGATCTTCAAGTGTTTCTATTTGGCATAATGTCTCAAACATCTTTTTTCAGCCTGAACATCCTGAGACATTTGTGTCTCAACTGAAGTCCAAGTGAAAAGCACTTCCCACATAATTGATCAACTGTTTATAAGATAAACCTGGAAAACTGAATAAAACACCAATGACAGAAAAAGTGAGTTTATATTTTTTGGTTAGGTGAGCTGTAACAAACATATTTTCTTTTCACAGGTGACTACAGAAAAATAGGTTGAATTACTGGCATAACATAAAAATTGGATTCACGGCCGGGTGCGGTGGCTCAAGCCTGTAATCCCAGCACTTTGGGAGGCCGAGGCGGGTGGATCACGAGGTCAAGAGATCGAGACCATCCTGGTCAACATGGTGAAACCCCGTCTCTACTAAAAATACAAAAAATCAGCTGGGCATGGTGGCACGTGCCTGTAATCCCAACTACTCAGGAGGCTGAGGCAGGAGAATTGCCTGAACCCAGGAGGCGGAGGTTGCGGTGAGCCGAGATCGTGCCATTGCACTCCAGCCTGGGTAACAAGAGCAAAACTCCGTCTCAAAAAAAAAAAAAATTGGATTCACACGGTAAGTTTGTAAGCAACATGAAAATAAGGAGGAATTCACTACCACGTCTTAAAGGTGATAATTTATACCTGATATTGTAAAACAAGTAATACTTGTATTGCTTTTTCAGTTTATTAAAATTATCCAAAATGAAGATGATCCAGTGATCAGAGATTGTACATTTTTCAATTAGCAAAAGGTAAAGTAGCCCTTCCTAGCACCCTAGTTTAAGGATCTAGAATTAAATTTACATCATGGTTATCAACGAGCAAGTTTCAGTAAATTTTAAAAACCTTGATATATATGGGCCTGGCTCAGTGGCTCACGCCTATAATCCCAGAACTTTGGGAGACCAAGGCCAGTGGATCACCTGAGGTTGGGAGTTCAAGACCAGCCTGAACAACATGGAGAAACCCCATCTCTACCAAAAATACAAAATTAGTTGGGTGTGGTGATACATGCCTGTAATCCCAGCTACTTGGGAGGCTGAAGAATGAGAATCACTTGAACCTAGGAGGCAGAGGTTGTGGTGAGCCAAGATCATGCCATTGCACTCTAGCCTGGACAACAAGAGTGAAACTCCATCTCGAAAAAGTAAGTTTGATATGTGAATTCATACTTCATTGGCTATTAATACAATTTATTTTTTTTTTAGAATGGTAAAAAAGGTGAGGAGAAAGTCTCATAAAGTTTTACCTCTGATGAATTTTCATGATGTCAAGTAGATTAGCTTTTAGCAATGTGCCTTGATCATAAACTTTTTGCTGTAACTTCAGTCGGGAGGAAAATAAGTCAAAACCTGTTGTATAGAATTAAAGTTCAGTGTTTAATTTCATACAAAAGAACATAGAAGTTGAAAAAAAATAACTTAAATACAACATATTAATAAATCACAGTATTACAGCAGATATTCTTAAAATATATTTTCCAGGACAAAGCAAGAGTTGGAAAAAGCCCAGCTCCTAAAGGGCTTCCTTGGTCCTCTTCCTGCTTGACCTGTAGTGTGGTCTGATATGGTCATAATCTCAATTTCCTAAAACCACCTCAACACCTATCTATAATTCAGCCTATTTTTCTGTAGTCACCTGTGAAAATAAATTCTGCTTCTTATAGCTCCCCTAGTTACCAAAAAAAAAAGTCATTTGAAATAATATTCTATTATTTTCCTGCTATTGCTTTGACCTCATTTCTTCCCTGTTTTCTTTGGTGCCTCCTCCTGTGATACCTATTTATTTAAACATTTCTCAAGGGTTTTTTGTTTGTTTGCTTCTTCTCACTTTCAGTAATTTCCTTGAGTCATTCTATCTTTTTCCATGATTTAAAATTCCAATTTGGATGGGAAAGCCCAATGATCTTTGTCCCCAAAGACCCCTCCCCAGAGCTGCAGACCTGTAGCATTCACCTTCATGATGGAAACATCGTGTGGACACTGTGTCCATGTGAACACTGCTCCTACCCTCAGGCACCTCCATATATACCTCACAGCAATATATCTCTTCCTCTTTATCTCATCAACAAAAATGTCTATTTTTATTCCTGAGTTCTGCCTTTGGGGATAGATTGACAATCTTCTCAGTCATTTTAGATGAAAATCTTAGAGCCCTCTTGAACTCCATCATCTTTCTCACACATTATTGTCATCTACTTGATAAATCCACTACCGCAGTCCCTTTCTTTCTGATGCCACGGTCCTGCCTTGGGTTGGCCTTTATTATCTCCTTCCCAGGGTCCGGTTACCATCTTCACCACACTTGCCTCCCACATGATGGTTTCTTCCTTTCCTAAGTCATTCTGCCCATGGCGAGGACAGTCATCTTCCTGAATCACAGGTATAATCATGACATGCCAGTGCCCATCCCTGCCACTCTACAGAAACTGCTCTAGACAAGACTTTCGATGACATTCAAAGCACATCTTTCTCTTTTATTTGGCATTGCTGTGACATGTGACACTGTTAGCATCTCCCTTCTTTAGAAGTTCTCCTTTTTAGTCCTCATTCGCTCTACCCTCCATTGTGATTTTCTTCTATTTCTCTGACCTCTCCTTTTCAGTCTCCTCTATGGCTGTTTCTTTCTCTGATTAAACTTTAATGTTATTACATCAGAGGGGCACCACCCTTAGCGTCCTAATCTTCTCATGCTGCAGTTCTTAATATCGCTGGGAGAGCCACTCACACCCATGATTATAGCTATACTGAAAGATTGCTGACTCCCACATCTATCGATCTCTACCCATTTGCCCTCCTGACTCCAAGACCTCTTCAATTGGTTAAGGAATTTCTCCACATGGATGGTCACAGGCATGTCAAAGTGAGCCAACCTCAGCTCATCTGTTCTTCCTTCCAAACCTGTTTTTCCTGTCTTTCCTGTTGAATGGAATGAGGATATCACCATCCACCCAGTTAGATTCCTATGTCAGAAACTGGGAGGTAATCCACAATCACTTTTACCCCCTCCTGCCCCCCAGTCACTGTTGCCAGTCCATGAACTTCTACAAAATTAGTATCTTTAAAATATTCTCCCATGTTCCATTCATAATTTTACTTCTTTTGTGCAGGCTTTATTTTTTTCCTCACCTAGATTTTTGCAATAAATCTGACCTGGTAAACTGTCTCCAATCTTTTCTGTTTGTCCTTCAAATCATGTTCAGGATAATCTTTCTAAAATGCAAGTGTCATCAATTCAATCCATTCTTCATTTTATTTTACTTTTTTTTGAGATGGAGCCTTGTTCTGTCACCCAGGTTGGAGTGCAGTGGTGCAATCTTGGCTCACTGCAACCTCTGCCTCCTGGGTTTAAGCGATTCTCCTGCCTCAGCCTTCCAAGTAGCTGGGATTATAGGCGTGTGCCACAAATATATATAAGTTGTCTCAAACTCCTGACCTCAGGTGATCCTCCCTCTTCTGCCTCCCAAAGTGCTGGGATTAAAGGTGTGAGCTACTGCGCCCAGCCTATTTTTAAATATTTGAAAAGGACTTTCCTTCTCATCTATAATATGGTCAAAAGCTTTTATATGTTAGGACCTGTAATTCAAATTCTAGAAATTTATCTTTCAAAAAAATCAGGTATGTCCTAGGATTTTTGAATAATGTGCAACATGGTGCTATTCACAGTATCAAATATTGGAAAAAACAGATATTTTCATCAATAAAGGATTTTTAAAATTATAATATGACATACAAATGAGCAAGATTTTAAATCGTGTTATAGAAGCATACACAAAGATATCAAAATTGTGTAATATATCAAAAAAGTGAACTCAAAATATTACATAACTTCTATCAATTATTCATTCATAATATCTATTATTGGCATAAAAAGTTTAACAGGATATACACACTGATATGGTTTGGCTGTGTCCCCACCCAAATCTTATCTTGAATTGTAATCCCCATAATCCCCATGAGTCATGGGAGGGATCCCATCGGATGTAATTGAATCATGGGGGCAGTTTCCCCCATGCTGGTCTCATGACAGTGAGGGACTTCCCATGAGATCTGATGTTTTAATAAGTGTCTGGCATTTCCCCTCCTGGCACTCATTCTCTCTCCTGGCACCCTGTAAAGAGGTGTCTTTCACCATAATTGTAAGTTTCCTGAGGCCTCCCCAGCATGCAGAACTGTGAGTCAATTAAACCGCTTCCTTATATAAATTACTCAGTCTCAGGTATTTCTCCATAGCAGTGTGAGAATGGACTAATGCAGTAAATTGGTGCTAGAAGTGGGGTGCTGCTATAAGGATACCTGAAATGTGAAAGTGACTTTGAAACTAGGTAACATGCAGTGATTGGAACAGTTTGGAGGGCTCAGAAGAAGGCAGGAATATGTGGGGAAGTTTGGAACTTCCTAGAGACTTGGAGGGCTCAGAAGACAAGAGATGTGATAAAGTTTGGAACTTCTTAGGGACTTGCTGAATGGCTTTGACCAAATGGTGATAGTAATATGGATAATGAAGTTGAAGCTGAGGTGGTCTCAGATGGAGATGAGGAACTTGTCGGGAACTGGAGTAACGGTCACTCTTGCTATGCTTTAACAACGAGACTGGCAGCATTTTGCCACTGACCTAGAAATCTGTGGAACTTTGGACTTGAGAGAGATAATTTAGGGTATCCAGTGGAAGAAAATTTTAAGCTGCAAAGCATTCAAGAGAAAGCAGAGCATGGCAGTTTGGAAATTTTGCAGCCTGATGATGTGATAAAAAAGAAAAACCTATTTTCTAGGGAGAAACTCAAGCCTGCTGCAGAAATGTGTTTAAGTAATGAGGAACCAAATGTTCATCACCAAGACAATGGGAAAATGTCTTCAGGGCATGTCAGAGAATTCATGGCAGCCCCTCCCATCACAGGCCCAGAAGCCTAGGAGGGAAAAATGGTTTGTGAGCTGGGTCCAGGGCCCCTGTTCTCTGTACAGCTTTGGGACATGGTTCCCTGTGTTCCAGCTGCTTCAGCTCCAGACTTGGATAAAAGGGGCCAAGGTACAGCTCAGGCCATTGCTCCAGAGACTGCCAGCCCCAAGCCTTGGTGGCCTATACGTGGCGTTGGGCCTGCAGGTGTGCGGAGGTCAAGAACTGAGGTTGGGAAACCTCTGCCTAGATTTCAGAGGATGTATAGAAATGCCTGAATATTCAGGCAGAAGTTTGCTACAGGAGTAGGGTCCTCATGAAGAACCTCTACTGGAGTAGCACAGAAGGAAAATGTGGGGTTGGAGCCCCCACACAGAGTCCACTCTGGGGTACTGCCTAGTGGAGCTGTGAGAAGAGGGCTACTGTCCTCCAGACCCCAGAATGGTAGATCTACTGACAACTTGTACCATGTACCTGGAAAAGCTGCAGCCACTCAATGCCACCCTGGGAAAGCAGCTGAGAAGGGGGCTGTACCCTGCAGAACTACAGGGCTGGAGCTGCCCAAGGCCATGGGAGCCCACCTCTTGACCTAGATGTGAGACATGGAGTCAAAGGAGATTATTCTGGAAATTTATGAGTTAATGATTGCTCTGTTGGATTTTGGACTTGGATGGGGCCTTATAGCCCCTCTGTTTTGGCCAATTTCTCCCATCTGGAAAGGGTGTATTTACCCAATGCCCATACTCCCATTGTATCTAGGAAGTAACTAACTTGCTTTTGATTTACAGGCTCCTGGCGGGGGGCGGGGGGGTGGGAGAAGGGACTTGCCTTGTCTCAGATGGGACTTTGAACTTGGACTCTTGGGTTAATGCTGGAATGAGTTAAGGCTCTGTAGGGACTGTTGGAAGGGTATGATTGTGTTCTGAAATGTGAGAACATGAGATTTGGGCTGGGGTGGAATGACATGGTTTTGGCTATGTGCCTGCCCAAATCTCATCTTGAATTATAATATTCATAATTCCCATGTGTTGTGGGAGGAACCTGATGAGAAGTAATTGAATCACGGGGGCAGTTTACCCCACACTATTCATGTGACAGTGAGTGACTTCTCACAAGATCTGATACTTTTATAAGTGTCTGGTAGTTTCCCTGCTGGCACTCATTCTCTCTCCTGCTACCCTGTGAAGGAGTGCCTTCTGCCATAATTGTAAGTCTGAGGCCTCCCCTCAGTGGAACTGTGAGTCAATTAAACTTTTTTCCTTTATAAATTACCCAGTCTTGGGTATTTCTTCATAGCAGTGTGAGAACAGACTAATGCACACACAAACCTTAAAGGTATGCATCCTGGGTAAGCATAACTGTGATTCTTACATTTTCTATAGTGACCATACAACACTTTTGAAATCAGAAAAAAACGTGTGTTATTTTATAAAAGTCTAAATCAAGTTGTCAGATTTTT